TCTTCTCTCTCAAACCTTGTAAACACTTAGTGGAGTGTATGGTGAGTGTAGATGTCAGCTATTTTCTGAGTTGGTGGGGCTGTTCTTGAGTGTTTTTTGAGCTGACTTCACTGCTTGTGGGGAGGAAACTTTTTTTCCTAGATTGTGTGGCTTCAAGGAGCCATCTTTGTTGGGAAAGGACCTTGCTTTGTTGTCATTTTTGTTTCCTTGCGAAGTTAGAACTGTGGGGGCTTGGTGGTGAGCTCCAAGAGCAATCTTTTTTGAGTTTTGAACCTTGGGTAAGCTTCACCTACCTTGATCATGAGTTTCCATTGTTTAAAGGTTGAGTCTTGGCTTGTTAATGGGTTGTTTAAGTAACTAACATGATCATGGACCTAAAAGTGGATAAAAATGCATGCTTGGAAGTTTTAATGGATTAAAAATCGAACCTTTGGAGTGATATCTCGCGAAATGCAGAAACTGCATTCTGCCGCGAAATATCCGGATATCATATCCGGATATTGATATCCGGATATGACATCCGGATATGGCCTCGAGATATATCCAGATATTATGGGAATTCTGAGACAATAGTTGTACTGTTCATACAGGATGTTATTTTGGGTTTGTGAACCCATGATTGGCTATTGTGGACTTCTGTAATATTAATCTAAGTCAGAATCAAAGTGATTAAGTGCTTATGGCTTTGTGAGAAGCCTAAATACACGAAACGTAAAGGAAAGACGTTGTCTTTATATCTTATGCTTGTAGGGTATGAATATTGATATGATTATTAGTCCAAATAGATTGTGATTGTGCTGTGTGTGGACTTTGAGCTTGTGTGGACTTGGCTTGGATCGATTTCTTGAGAGGTAAGCTTTCGTGTCCTCGGTTTAGCCATTGTTGGTTCCACCATACCCCATGGTGGAATGGTTTATATGCATGATGTGTTTTCATGTATTGCTTTATTGAAATGCTTTTGAGCTATTAAGTGCAAATGCCTATGATATGTATGTGATGTTTCGCCTAGACGAGAAGATGATCCTGTGGGCAGGTACAACATGGGCGTGTACTATGTGGGTAATAGACGTGTGTAAATCCTGTATTTCTCTGGCCAGTAGAATAGTTAACTCACATGACATAATTATCTGCTGCATTGAACTGATTTGAAACTTATATTATTAAACTGCTTTTAGAACTTATATTGCTCATGTAAGTGAGCTTGAGGTGGAGAAATCCTTGAGGACCCCTTGCCTTACTGAAATTTCTGTTTAGAGATCTCACACCACGTTTGGGGCGCTTATTTCAGGTTCAGGTAACCCAGGGGTTGAGACCTCTAGCGGTAGGAGCCGGAGCTTAGTTGATTGATATGCTTGCTGATTATGCTGATGCACCTGTTTAGTGATTATATCTTATCCACTATCATGCTGTTTGTTTTGAGACTTGATGAGTATGCTGTGTATTTGGTGAGCTTGGGGATTGTTCATGCCACATTGATTTGACGATGTTTAAGTTTATTTGAGTTGTATAAACTATTACGATCTGTCCGGTCTACGTGCTGTAGTTCCGAGACTAGAGACACATTTTCAGTTATATTATTTATTGAGGTTATTCAGTGTAGATAGCTGTTCATTTGCAATTACATACAGGCAATGTTTTGAAAAATAATTAAGGAATCAACTTGGTAATTGATAATGACGTCATAATTGAAAAGAAAATGATATTTCGCATTTTTAATTAAGCGTGGCTTAATACGATGACATGTTAACAAACCGGGTATACACGGGATGTTACAAGTGCAGTGAGGAAATGCGATTTGCTCGCTGAGGAGGTCGTTTAAGTGAGGAGCTCAATGAGCAGCATAAATTGCTAAAAGTGTGAAATAAAGCCATCTAGTGTATGGGCACTTCATGGTAATGTTGAATAAGATTTGTATGATATGTCTAAGCTAAGTTTAGTTATTCCGCAAAGTTACTTTGTTATAGTTACAATTTTGGTTATTTTAAATACAATATCGACTTTAAACGGAAACATGTAAAGTTTAAAAAGAAAATGTTTAGCCGTATATTTAATAGAACTGAAGTAATTGTAACTGTGTTTAATATCACATGTAATGATAACATACTGGTACATAACAGGGTGTTACATTGTTTGTTGTAGCGAGCATTCCAGTGAGTTACTCTGACAACAAAAATATGGTTTCTTATTTTGGGTATAACTGAGTTATGCTCGCCCAATTGATATGATATTGGTTTCGTTGTAAAGATAAAAGAGAGATCTACAACTTCTATGAATAATTCAAGATCCAAATCCATCATCTTGGATACTAAAAATTGGCTCGAAGATAGCTTCAAGAAGATTTTCACTAAATCATTACTCCTCATTTATCGTTTTAAGTCCTTTTATCTTACTCATTGCTCCAATCCTCTCATTTAATAATTTGAACCCGAAGCGAATATATTTTAAGTCAACAACATATAAAACATGAAAAGTCCAAAGTCTTTTGCATTTGATAATGTATACTATGTCTTTGACCATATTTATTATTATTTAGCATATTTTTGGTCCTAAAGGCATGATATATCAAACATGAAGCTTAACAATGCATGTAACTTTATTTCATTTATTTTTTTTTTATTTTTTTTTGGTAAAACTTTATTTCATTTATCAGTTCACTTTTAACTTTCGATTTTAAGTTTTTTATTTCTCCTTTTAGCATGGGCACGTTTGTATATAACTACCCTAACAAGTTTTTTTTTACTTTGGCTTCATTAGTTATGCACCCTTTGTATCTACTGGATCTAAATCAACTGCTGTGTGTATATTCTAATTTTTCTATAATGAAAAAAGTGTCTTTTTTTAATTTCATCTCTTCAGTATTACTTCTCATCCTTCATTTTTTTAGGGAAAAGTTTAAAAATCATCGTATGATATTGCTTTGAATCACTTACACCCTTATATTTTTCTTTAATCATTAAATCCCTTATGAATTTTTCTATTCACACCCTTGCTTAACACTGTTAGGAACTTAACTGAGTATACATATTTTACACCTCTTAAAAGAAGAAATAAAATGATTAAAAAAAAAAGAAAAAAAAGATCAAATGTTATGAAAACTTAGAATACTTAATAAAAGACTAACAGAAAAAATAGAAAAAAAATTCAAATGTGTCTAAATAAAAGAGAGAGAATAAAGACCAAAACATAGAAAAAAAAAAGATCAAATATGTTAAGAGTCACAACAGTGACAAAAAAGACTGAAATTAAAAAAAAAAATTGAAGTTAGTCCAAACGAAAATAAATACTGAAGACGAAAAATAGAAAAAAAATTAGGATAAAAAATAAAATAAAAAAGAAATGAAACAAGAAATGACAATTATGAGTTTTCAATGTATTTGATTTGATTTTTAATTTATTTTACTTTTTGTCCTCGATCTATTTTATTTTTTTTTATTTAGATATATTTGGTCTTTTTTCACTTTTTGGTCTATTTTATTCTGATTTTTTTTTTCTTCTTCTTTTAGCCTTGTGCTACCCCATCTACTTAAGATTTTCATATATATATATATATATATATATATATATATATATATATAGAGAGAGAGAGAGAGAGAGAGATTTTTAAAAAAGATCAAACATATCTAAATAAAAAGAATAAAATAGATTAAGGATAAAAAATAAAACAAATTATATTGAAAATTCATAGCTGTGATTTTTTTGTTTTATTTTTTTATCTTGATTTTATATTCTATTTTTTGTATTCAATATTTTTTTTTTCATTTAGACTTTTTTATTTTTTTCATTTTACTCTTTTTTTCATTGTTGTGATTTTTAACATATTTGGTCTTATTTTTTCTTCTATGTTTTTATTTAGACACATTTTGATTTCTTTTAATCTTTTATTAAATATTTTAAAGTTTTCATAACTTTTGATTTTATTTTTATTTTTATAAGAAGGGTAAAATAGATATATTTAGTCAAGTTTCTAACAGTATTAAAAAGAGGTGGATGAAAAAAATTACAAGAGTTTAAGTGATTTATATATATATATATATATAAGGGTATAAGTGATTCAAAGCAATAGCATTTGGAAATTTTTGAACCTTTTCCTTTTTCTTATTCAATTTTTTGTTATCTTTTATTTTTTATAATTTATACAAAATTAAGTATTCACGTGTCATCTTCCTGTATATCCATTCGGCCTAGGAAAATGCCAATTTTGCCCTGTGCGTTACTGAAAAGAGATTTGCGTTCAGGTTCTGTGGCCACAAGATATAAGTTTAACTAAGCTGAAAAGCTTTTCCTCTGTTGATAATGTATGGCCTTCTTTGTCATTCACGCGTTGAACGTGAGAATTCAATATTATTTATCACATTATTTCAGTTTTTTAATTGGTCTCGTACTTATTTATTAATTTGGGGCACATACGGGCCCGTTTGGATGAGCTTTTTTTCTTCAAAAGTTACTTTTTTTTAAGAAAAAAAATATTTTTCGTTTTTAGTTCGTTTGGACGTCTGCTTTTAAAAAAAGAAGTCACAAAAAAGCCAAAAATCTACTTTTCTCATAAGCTAAAATTTTTAACTTTTTAGAAAAGTAGAAGTCAGAAGCCAAATATTCTTTTCAAAAACTAAATATTTTTATAAAAATATAAATAGCTTTAACTTTTATAAAAAGTACTTTTAAGATAAGTAAGTAGTAAAAGTTACTTTTAAAAAAGGTGAACCAAACGACATGTGATAATATCCCTGCTTCTAATCCCGTTGATTTTATGTGTTAGTGTTTCGAATAATTTGATTGTACTCAAAATGTTCCCTGTAGCACAAATGACGAGTCGCATTATTATTGCTAATTTGCTATTATATATATTCCACTCCATCAGACATATAAAAATTACCAAACATTTAAACGAGCACACATCAATGATAAAGACTTCTGCTGATACTTCTACACATCAATGATAAACGAGCACACATCAGACATTTAAATTACCAAAGGTGATGCTAGCATTTGGCAAGAAGCCACTACGGATAAACCTCAATGAGAGACCTTAAACCGAAAACTGGAGTTATCTTGTAATCACTGAAACCAGCAGAGGAAATCAACTTAGCCCATTCTTTTTCACTTCTCTCTTTTCCTGTTAGCAACACCATCATCAGCATATCAAAGAAGAGTTGCGCTTCTACTGATTCATCATCTCGCTTCTCTTTCCCTATCACCATGTCTATTATGATCAACTTTCCTTCTTTGCCTTTGTTCATGATTGCCTCCTTGCATTTCTTCAATATTTTCACACATTCCTCATCATTCCAATCATGCAATATTGACTGCTTGCCATTCAAAAAGCCGTAACGATTAAAGATCTGAATCCCTTATATATGTGTTCAAGAAATGATTTACTTTTGACATTGTAACTTGCAAATAAATCAGCTTATCATGTTATGTTTTTAACTTGGATAACAAACCCCAGAGAAAAATCTAAAGAGATAGATAGATTTTCTGTTTTACTGGAATGAGCAGAGATCTACCTATCAAGTCCTCCCTCAACTAAGTCCCAAATTGTGAGATAAATAGTACAAAACAAGCATGATCTATTTATTAGGCAATATAATTAGATATATAACTAGTAATGTGGTAACAATATACCTTCAATAGAATGGCATTGGCAGGAGGAATTGAGTGAAACATGTCTCCTCCAACATATTTAAGGTTGTCACTTCCTTGCAAATCAGCAACAACATGTGGAAGATCAAATACAGTGCAATCAAGTTGTGGGAATGATTTGGCAATGGCCTTAGCCATAGTGCCAGTGCTTCCCCCAACATCTACAAGTGATTCCAATCCATTGAACACTCCCTTGCACCTCTCAATTACCACACTGGCAATCAATCTAGCATCACTTGCCATGGCATCATTGAAAAACTGATTAAATTTTGGGTTGGAGCCAGCATAATCCCAAATTGTCATCTTGTGTGCTGTGTGAAATGGGGTAGGATCATCATTTCTAAACCATGTAGGGAAATGATGCCATGATTCAGTCAAAATTGGATCAAGCATGCCAAGCAAGAAAGGCCTCTGACTCAATGGGTTGTCCTTGAGAAGTAGAATAGATGCATCAGTGAGCACATAACCCGTTTCTAGCTCATTCTCGATGGTATTCTGTTGAGAAAAGAAGCCAGAATGAGCCAAAATTCGCATCAAGCGGTAGATGAAGGAGGTTTTGGAAGGGTGGATAGATAGTGAAGCAATGAGTTGTGAGAGTGGCATGGGTTTACCATAGTTGTGAATGGCTTCTGGTATGCCTAAGTCAATTGCACATTTAAGGGACATAGAGTTTATGAAGCTGCAAATGTGATTCCATATGTGGGTTTGAGCATTAAGCAGTTTGGCAGCATGCTCTTCGCTTTGGAATTCCATGATTTTCCTCTCTGAACTACTAGCTAGATTTGTGGTTTCACTTCTATGGAACATCGCATTAGTTGGGTCTATTTATAAGGCAAGCTGGATAAATATTCTTCTTCTTTTTTTAATTTCTCAGGGGTACGATGTGCATGGTAAAATATGTTGCAGTTACTTTAAGACACACACAAACACATATAAACGATAATGTTGTGGTACATCCAACCATTACTTGCTAACTTAATTGACACCAAGTCCATCCTTTTTTTTTTTTTTTTTCGGTAAACAGACACCAACCATCTTTAATTTTTCGGTTTAATGTCAATGTCAGAGATTCACTTTCATTTAGTCATCCTTCTAATAAGTGAAAAAGTTACAAGTACCGGGTAGCATTATCATCTTAAAATTACTGGGAATTTGTTCCAAAAAAAAGTGTAAATTTTTTTTAACACTTAAGATTTCAAGAATGTCACCCCTTTCATGGTATTCTTGGATGACATTTTGAAAAAATAAATAAATTATACACAAAATAAAATCTGTTAGAATTTCCTCATAATTGAATTTTTTCACGTTTCCACAGGACATTCGCGAAAGGTGGTGCAAAAGGGGTCACCAAAGCCCCCCACTTTGTGTCTTTTTTATTTGTCATGATTCTTCCAAGCGGTACAATTACAATCCATTAAAAACAACATACCCTCTCAGGTCCATTAATTCTCCGAATGGAATTGCTGGAATTAACGGCTTACATACCTGTCAAATTATTAATCAACTTAATTAGCTTGTAATTATGTGAACTTATCTTGGCTGAATATATATATATATATATATATATATATATATATATATATATAGGGTCAGGATTATTTTACAGCAGTGTAAGTTACACTTTCAATCTTGTCCACTGATCCCACTTATATCTAAGGGTTCAAATTTTTTAGTAATGTGAGTCATTGGATACAAGTGGATCAATGGTCAAGATTGAGTGTAAGACTTCTAACTCTTACACCGGTGTAAGAATATCATGCCTCATCTATATATATATATATATATATATATATAAACTAATTTAGAACATTTGGCAATGTGACTAGACAAATTATCTCCAGCAACCCTAAAATTACGTCTTTTAGGATATTGAGAGAATTAATAAATGATATTTTATGAATTTTATTTGTTTATTTATTATATGAACTTTACCAAAATACAACTTATTAATTCTCCCAACCCTAAAAATGACATAATTTTTGATTTTCTGGAGATAATTTTATTTCGTGTAAAAATACAAATGATAAACTCATATATAATTTACAAAATACACTATGTATTCCCGGAAGTACATTAGGTTGGTTACACTAAGTACTTCCGGAAGTACATAGTGTAATTTGCACAAATTTGTAAAAAAAGTTTGTAAACGAATCATTCCTCATATATATGAAGTAGGATCCTTTGACAGCAATGTCAAATTTGAAGTTTGACATCTCATCTGAGAGCCATTAGATAAAAAAAATCAATGGTGTCATATGCTTACAAATTAGAGTCATTGATCTTTTTTGATCTAACGGCTATAAGATGAGGTGTCAAACTTCAAATTTGACACTGCTGTCAAAGAATCCTACCTATATATATATAAGTCTTACATTCAATTTTAACCGTTGATTTCCGTGCATTAAACGGTTATAATTGATTTATTCTTATTAATTAATTATTAATTCTCAATAAATTACAACCGTGATATATACAAAAATCAAACTTTTAGGATTGAGTGTAAGATTTATTATTCTTACACCGATGTCAAAAAAATTATGCCCATATATATATGCACTCATGGCGGACCTGCTCAATTGCCAATGTGGGCAAGTGCAGATATAAATTTGGAGATACATTTTTTTTAGTAAAGAAGAGATATATTTTTTAATTAATTAGAAATGTAACGAGTAATTTTAGTAGATGGATTGCCAAAAATGCAAGCACATGTACTAAGAAAAAACACATCTTATTTACTGCTTATGTTTTAGTATTTTTATATCATAAAGTTAATTACTATTTTTTTATGTTAAGTTGAAGTTTTCTTTTTTTTTCTTGTTTGAGGATTATATCCCTCGTGTTATATGAACTAAATTTTTTATCATGTTAAGAAAAAGACAAGTTAATATTAAAGAAAGTGAGAGGGCACATTATTCAATGAATTAGTCTTTTTTTTTCTTAACATGATGAAAAATTTGGTTTATTTAACATGAGGATATAAACCCTTGTTTTTATATTCTTTTAATTTTTAATGCATTTAAAACTTTGTTTTTTAAAAAAAAATCAGGGGCAACACGCCACTAAATGTGCAGACCTAAATAAAATTTTTCGGGTCCGCCATTGTATAATAAAATTTTCTGGGTCCGCCATTGTATATATGTGAGTGTGTGTATGGTTTTACACCTCTTATGTCACATGAGATTTTCGAATTTTGCATCAGACACATACATGGTGGGATCCACATTTTTTTAAAAAACAAAAAAAAATTGAAGCACTTATCTTGATGTCTCATTGGCATAAGTGCATATTTTTCCTGTGAAATAAGAATTTTAAACCCCATATATATAATTATGTGGGTTACTTTTTATCATGTTTCAAGAATTTGGAATTCTTCTGCAAACTATGTACTATGGATAGTAGATAGTTGTAATATAATTAAAAAATAACTTTTATTATTATAACTATGTACCCATCAGTGTATATAGTTATAAGGGGTATGAAAAAATAAAGTTAATATTATAACTATGTATTCCCCGAAGTACATAGTTTTCTAGAGAACTTTAAATTCCTGCAACATAAGGGCCTATTATGCCTACATATATATATATATATATGTGTGTGTGTGTGTATATATATATATATAAATATATATGGTTCCATCTGGTGTCTAGTCACAGGATACAAGGTTTTATCCATTTGCACCCTTATAACTATGTACTCCGGGGAGTACATAGTTATAATTTATTTTTGTCTCTCTCTCTCCACGTTATAATTTGTTTTTTTCTCTCTCTCCACGTCAGCCGACAAGTTTATGAAAAACTTATCAAGAGATAAAAAAAATACTTTAATATTATAACTATGTACTTCCCGGAGCACATAGTTATAAGGGGGTGATAAGCCAAAACCTTATATCCAGTCACAGGATATACACTGAACTTTATATATATATATATATATATATATATATATATATATATATATATATATATATGGCTTATCGTTTCTCAATTTGCTTGAGATAATTTATCTCCAGCTACTAAATTATAACCGTACAAAGATGGATCAATGGTGATAAAGGAAGAGAGAGAAAAAGTGAATCATAACAATTTAAAGGTGAATCAATTAATATAAGGAAATAAATAAACAAAACGACGTAGGTTTTGGGAGGATGGAAATAAATATATCTCAAACTGCTTGAGAAATATTTTTCTTATATATATATATATATATATATATATATATATATATATGGGTTTTATAAGAGTTATGTTGAAGGAAAAGTGATTGTGTTATGTTATAGAGATTCGTTTTGCGTGCCTGAGTTTTTTTTTTTTTTGGTTTCAAAAATTGCGGGTCCCACAAAATGTTGTGTGTGTATGAAAGTTGTTGTGGTCATGTTAAATGATAGATGCAAAACCCTATATATATATATATATAAATATATATATATATATATATATATATATATATATATATATATATATATAAATATATATATTGGGGACAAAATTTGTTGACACCGAATCTTAACCTTTGATTTTCGTCAATCTAACGGTTATAAGTTATTTAGAATTACTAATTAATTAATAAGCTTGATCTAATAAATTATAAGTATCAGATTGAAGGAAATCAACAGTTATGATTTGGTGCCAAAGGATTCTATCTTGTATAATTAATACTGTGGTAATAGTTATCTTCTATAAAATAGCATCGGCAAGAGGAATTGACTCACGCATGTCCCTCCAACATATTTAAGGTTCTCAGTTCTTTGCAAATAAGGAACAACATGTGGAATATAAAATATGGTGCAATCAAGCGGTGGGAACTAGGGGTGTAAATGGGCTGGGCTGGGCTGGGCTTTGGCCTTCCTGGCCCAAGCCTACGTAAAAAAAAATTCAGCCTATCTGGCCTACTGGCCTATCAAAGGCTTTATTTGTAGGCCAAGCCCGACCTATTTTTAAAAATAAGAAAGCCCGGCATGGCCTACAGGCCTTGTAGGCCTACCATTGTAGATACTAAGCAAAGAAAATAATTGCACAGGGCAAAGAAAGTTTCATTCATGAATGCACTAGTACTTCTCATAAGAAAAAAATAACAAACAAAAAAGAGTCAATATAATACCCCAGCTTTAGAATGTATATCATAGAGGAATAGAGTCAAAGAAATAGGGAAAATAAGAAAAATACAATTATTGGGTGCTGAAATAAAGTCTACTAGAAAATGTCATTCATCTAAAAATTAGGGTTGGTATTGGTACTTTGTCATGCCACATAAAATAAATATTATTTTATTTTTAAGAGTAAATACCCCTTTTTGTCCCTGGCAATTTTCACGAGGCACATTTTAGTCCCGAATAATAAAAAAGGCTCATTTTAGTCCAAAAATTTGAAAAAAAAAAAGGCCACGTTAGTCCTTCTGTTAGTTGGCATCTGACGGCCCAACTAACGGAGCACACATGGACCGTTACTTTGCTGAGTCGCCGTTAAGTATGCCAGCGTGGAAGTAATACGACGCCGTTTTGCACATGCCTTATCTCTTGTTGGAGTTTTGGACAACTGAAAGTCCTATTTGGTCCTTGGAAAATTTATCGAGACCCTATTTGGTCCTTAACACTAAAAAACCACCATTGCAGCAAACCTTTCAAACCACCATTGCAGCAAACCACCAACCATATCATCAATTTTTAGTTAGGGGAGGGGGAGGATGGAGGAAGAGAAATAATTATGCTTTTGCATAGAATGAAGCCTCATCTACTATCTGTCATGAAAAAACTAGGAACTGACAAATACCTCCTTGC